GGACCACCATGCTATCAGGTCCTATGATCTTTGAAACAGCAATGCCTTGAAGACCCCACATCCTAGGGGGAAAGACACATGAACAACTAAAGTTAAAATGTGGGAGTAATGAGATGGAAGAACATAAGGGCTGTAATGGGAGGCAAGAGGATGATCCCCAGATCTTCAAAGGCTGGGAAGACCCCTTGGAAATGATGGAGGTTTAAGTTTGGAAGATGATGAAAGTCAGCAAGACTGGAACAGAGAGAGGGTGGCCTCTGCAGCACATAGAGAGCTCAAGTTCTGAGGAAGAGAAATGCACCTTATTTGATTCATCTTTCATCTTCACATTGGACTGGCATGCAATGATAGTGCTTATCTATTCTTAAAGCCTGCGCACTGCCTGGTGCACAGTAGGCATTCAATAAATGTTGATGGCATGAATGATTTCTTGTTGGGATGCAAGTCTGTACCCTCTTTTGGGAATGTCAGCATCACAGAACCATTAGTTAAGAAATAACAACAAAGAAAACACATGAAGGTCATTTATTTTCAGTGAGTGTGCTATGAGCAGTTCTGTGGGCAGGGCCTCATGCAGATAGCATTGCTAGCCAGTATCCAGGCTGAGGTGTTAGTGGGCCAAGGCAGTTGGTAAAGCTGTAGATAGAACACTGGAAATTGAAGAGTTAACAAAAACCCATCTCAGACTAGCTGAAGGGACTAGCTCAGGCTATCCTGAGGGAGCCTGATCAAGGACCCCATTCTCCAGTATTCCTGTCTCTACCTCCCTGCTCGAATCTTCCTGCCTCCTGGAACCTCAGACAGGCTCCCTTCAGGATTATATTTTAAAGGAAAATGCAAATCACCTAGAGGCTGCTTCGTGCTTGGAAGAAGTAAAAAAATGATTCTGTTTTTGTTAAAGTGGTTTTTGGACACTGTCAAAGCTCTCTCATCTCAGAGCACAGGGTGACAGATAGGCTGCCAATCACTTACATAACTGAATCAACCAGTGGCAGTGGGCCACCTTGTCAGGAGCAGATGCTGCCCCATACATTTCCCACACCCAACTCCCTGACCCTAGGATGTCTAAGAGCAATCTCTCTAGATCTGGAGCTGGCCCTCTGTGGCCCCTGTGGACACTTGCTCACAAGGCTTTCCTCCTACCTCTCCTCCTAGCCCATGTCCTCGCCTGACCTACCCCAAGGACTGGCTCAGGCAGTCCAGGTCTGTCATGATGCTAAGCAAAGCCAAGCAAAATGAAGAAGGGAATCTGCTTCAACAAAGTTTATATACAACACTCTCCAACCAGTTAGGTTGGTCTTATTTAATATTGGGAGTTCCATGTTATCCCTTTCCTCTGTTAACTGAGATGATTGGGGATTTGTTTTATTTATAGCATCAATTATGAACACAGAAATTAATCCTTGAATGGTACATTTGGGAGCTCAACTATCATGGGAGCATGAAGGAAGCCTGGGCACAGTTCGGGGGTCCTCCCCACCAGCACAGGAAACTGCCAAAGAAAACCATCTTCAAGCCCAGGTGGCAGTTTGGACTGTTATTGTTCTTGTGTGTTTAAAGTATTTTGAGATATTAAATAAAGGGTGATAATTGACTTCAGGAGATCCCTCCCTGGAGGACACCTAGTAACTCATAAGCGAGGTGCCTGAGAAGCAGGCAGATGAGGCAACCAGAGTCCAAAGAGCAACTGCCTCACTTATAATGGCATGTCAGCCAGCACTGTTCTGCGAAGGAACTGAAGACAGTCTCACTGATTAGAAACAGGAACTCAGGGAGGAGTAGGGCAGGAGGGGCTGCAGACACAGAGAAGTCGATGCCTGCCTGGAGCTGCTGGAAGCAACTGAACCATAGCAGAAAGTTGGTCCTTGGTACTTCATGACAATGTGGGGCTCAAATGTAATGTAGAGCAAGAAAAAGATGAGCTTTTTTTTTTTTTTTTTTTTTTTTATAGGAACCAATCAGGGGAGAGCAAAAATGTTCCAGGGTCAAACCAATGAGTCCCCTAGTAAGAGAAAGAAGATGCTTATCGTCCTGTAGAGTATCTTAGTGGACAGACAAGTCACCAAGTAGAGGCTGCTTTGCTCTCTCCTGGAGAGCAAACATGGCACACAGAGCTGGGGTGACTGCGGGGCTGCAGGCTCCAACCTTAGATCTACTCTCAAAAAAGGACAGATATGTCTAGAAGGGACTGAGAACAGCATGCCAAGCAAATGGGGAAGGTGCTCCATTTACACTGACCCTCCATTAAAAAGCATTTTGTCAAGCACCTGCGATGTACAGCCAAACAAGCTTGGTAATGCTGCCAACTGTCAGCTGAGGTCAAAGTCAAAGTAGCTTGATCCAGCATTGAGCTACAACCAGCCAGGGTGGAGGGAAGGAAAAGAGGCTGCTTTCTCATAACTCATCCGAATTTAAGGAAGACATCACTAAAGGTTTCCTTCCTGGCTCATTTTGTTCTCCTCCCAGAAACTAGACATTTTAATGTATTGGAGATGGAGAAACAAACCTTTTTACTGTTGGTTATGGGGTGAGGATGTCATAGGACCCCAAATCAGGAGAGCCATGTCTGTCTCCAGTGCAGGCAGATTTTCTTCCTCTTCACCTTCCTTCTCCTGAAGCCTGCCTGCTCCTTCCACCACCCCAAGAAAGTAAACCCGAAGCCACACTGCTGCTGGTTTGCCTTTTTCTACAGGATGAACACCAAGGGAAATCAGCCGTTTCCCCCAAAGTAATAAATAGCAGTATAATACTTAGCAATGAAAACAGCCTCTGATTTCTAGTAAAGTCTTTTAACCTGTCTGGAAGGAAATGTTTGAGTTGTAAAGTCTCTCTGTGCCCAGGACAGTGCCTGTCATGATACTCACTGATGCTGATGCTTTCTTGACTAGCAATATGACTAGAATAGAACATCACACTCTGAAGTCATCTAAAAAGGTAATAACCCTGAAGGTTTTGATTTCTACTTTCTACCTAGGGGTCCTGATGGAGTGGGAACAAGTGGAGGGACAGAGGGAAAGGAAAAGGGACGCTGAAGACACCAGGACTAGCATTTGAAAATCAGCCCAGTGACGATGAGTCTCTCTGAACCTTGCCTTCTACATCTTTAAAGGCTACCTTGCGAGGCTGCTGAGAGGACTTAAAGATAATATATGCAAAGTGCTCAGCACACTGCTGACACCCAGTAGACACCCATATACTGTTACACTAATACTAAAAAGTTATTGGCAGGTGGCCAGTGAAGTTTCTGTTGATTTTCTCTAAAATGATCCCATTTTAACTGACACCCATCAATCTGCCTGGTGGTTATCCCAATACACGTCCCTCCCTCTGGTGTCATGAATTCCATCAAGAGGCAACTAAGAACACTGGGCAGTCTTGGAATGAGGTGCCTAGGTTCCTTCAGGAAGGTGAAGGGATGGCCAGGGTTGGCTTAGAAGGGGACAAGGTTGCAGGAGAGCTCCCTGGCTCATTTTGTCCCCAATATCCCAATGTGCCAAATGCTTACATCTGCCACTTGAACCAAGAAAAACAAAGTCCCGGAGCCAAACAACATTCTTACCCACTCTGGTGAGTAGCAATTTGAACATGTGTGTGTGTGTGTGTGTGTGTGTGTGTGTGTGTGTGTGTTGGGAAGAATGGTCAGGATGGCGTTCATCAGACAGAGGTAAAGGGAGTGCCCCAATTAAATGTGGCCTTTGCAAATGGATGGTGACACCCCTTGCTCTCCTCCTTGCCACCCCCTTCTCTTCCCTTGTGGCAGAATGACAAACGTAATCATTTTAAGAGGTCCCAGCACCTGCTCAGTCATTCCCAATAAGCACACACAACACTATGGAATAATGGACACCATGGCCATGGGGTTCTAGCCAGGAAAAAAATCGAATCACCAGGATGCCAACAACCAAATTGTCAAAGACCAAATAAAAAGCTTCATGAATTCTCCATCAGCAATATAACGCTTCCTGGTCTAAGCAAATATAGACCCAGCATATGAATTGTGGAGAGATTTTGCATTAGCCTCAACGGCTTCCAACGGCTGAAGCAGGAACCCCTGTGAAATCTATGTCTCCATAAAGCTGTCTTTATTGGCTCTAATCCTGTTAGGATGAGAATTGTAATCTCCTTCCTGAGCCCCCTTCCTCTGATGGAAAGCTCCATGTCCTGGCACCATAAATGTATTTCTGTGACCTCAGTGGAGTGGAGAGCTTGGAGATCTGGAAGAGACAGAGTCACCTGAGACCTTGCTGAGCATCTGGTCCCTCCCTCTGATGATACTGCCGCTTGTCTGACCACATGACCCATGGAGACTATTTCACAGCCATCCAGTTAGGCCAGGTCATTCTGTCACTGACTGGGACTGATAAAGCAAGACTGCTTTTCCTTTAGTGAGAAAAAAGAAAGAGGTATCTTGCCTTGCAGAAAACCCAAGATCAGGGTTACTGAGAAAGTCTGATCAGAGCTACTGAGCCCTTGAGCATCTGTGGCAGCAGAGAAGAAAAGTGAGGCAGAAGAAAGCAGTTTGCAAATGTGCTACAGAGAAGAAACAGGAAGAACCTGTATCTCCTGTATGTTCAGACTGTGCACCATTCACCCAACTTCTCATAGCCCTCTGCCTCCCCACCCGCTGCTCTATCTCTCTCCCTATGAAGGTCCTTAGATGCACAGATACATGTAAGAATGCAACCATCACCCACCCTGCCTTCACACACAGGCACACAGACACACATATAGATACACAGATACACACATACACGTACACACATACTGCACATCTGGAGAAAAGATGTAGTGACTTATTTTCTAAAACATATGCCTCACTCAAAAAGAGTCAATTCAGAGCAAGTCACACCCCCCAACAAATCCCTCCTGAACCTCCCCCTTCTGACATGCCACCTTTCCCAGCTCCCATGACTTGAGTGAGGGACTCTTCTCACCAAATCTCTTCTCCCCAGCCCTGATACCATCCAAAAGCATCATGCTCCACCCAAGCACTGACTTACCCCAGTGTAGTCATGGTGACAATGGTGTACCAGAAAGAAGCTGGGATGCTCGTAAACTTGCTGGCAGAGGAGCCCTTCTCAGCATAAAACATCACAGTGGCAAAGATGATGATGGCCATGGTGAGGGAGAAGAGGAGAAAGCCCAGTTCTGAGGCACAGCTCTTCAAGGTGTAGCCCAGGATCCGGAGGCCCTGGGAGTGTCGGGAGAATTTGAAGATCCTGAAGACGCGGAAGACCCGGAGCGTGACGAAGGCCCCAGACACGTCCTCGTTGTTGGTCATGACCAGGCCGATGTAATAGGGCATGATGGCCACCACATCGATGATGCTCATCACGCTGCGGATGAATCGGTAGCGGCTGGGAGCCGCGAAGAGCCGGAGGAGGTACTCCACGGTGAAGATCATGACACAAGCAGTGTCCAGGCAAAAGAAGGCCACCGAGTAGCGCTCTCCGCACGGCAGCTCCTTGCTCCCAGGCACCGTGCCGCAGGGCACCGTCTCCACCACGTTGGTGATGACCGAGACGGCGATGAAGAAGCCAGTCACGTAGTAGAAGACCAGGGCCAGGGTGCTGGTGTGGGGGTTCTCGAAGGCCCGCCACATGGTCTGACGGAAGCTGAGCGAGGGCATGGACTCCTGGTTGTTCTCCGAGTCGTTGTCATCCATGAGCCTCTCCGCGTTCTCCCGCTTGCGGTCTTTGTACTCCTCATAGCAGCAGTCTCCGATGATCTCGGGCAAGATGCCGTAGAAGGCCAGCTCGTCATCATAGGCCGAGATACACTCATAGCGCGGGTAGTGCAGCTTCCCAGTGCGGTAGAAGTTGAGCACACAGCGGAACACTTCTGGGTCGCGGTCAAAGAAATACTCCTTGGTGTCCTCGTTAAAGAAGAACTCCTTCTCGGTGCTGCCCAGCAGGGTGTCCGGGTAGCGCTCCAACGTGGTCCTCCAGGTCTGGAAGCGCCGGCCACTCACATTGAGGACAATCAACTCATCCTGCCTTTTGTTCTTGTCCGCTGGAGCTAAGGGCATGGGGCAATTGGCCACCGGCATCCATCCAATGGCTGCAGCCCGAGCAAAAGGCAGCCAGGCTGCAACTCCTGCCGCCATGGTGACTCCAGCTTTCGGGCTGGCAGCAGCTCAGACACTGTGCACACCAGCTTGGAGTTGTTAGTTCAGCGACCCTGGGGGACAAGAGAGAACAGAGAAAAGACTGAGTCCGCTTTAACCTCGTGAAGAATGAAACCAGGGGAGGGGTCATTGCTGAGTGAAGCAAGACTCCGAGGTAATTTAACAAAACTGAAACCACCAAAGGAGAGAACTTGATTCTTCTCCACCCATAAATGCAGAGGCAGGGCCAGCATCTAGCAAGGGGCTATGCAAAGGGCCGGCTCATCAGATGTTGCTGTCTGACTGCCTGACAAATTGTCAGGCTCCAAGAGGGCTCAGGAAGACTTGGAGGGAAAGCCTCTTAGCAGGAAGATGTGGGAAGATGGGTAATAATGAGCTCTGAAAGGTTATGGCGTTATTACGAATTTAAATTGGGAGAGGGTAAATGAGTTCTCATTAAATGAATTTAAAAGTGGGATAAACATGCTAATTTTTATTTCACTCTTCATCCACCAGGGCAATCAGTAATGGGGTGTGGATATAGATCAGGTAAACATATCTTTTCTACTCTGCCCTGGTGAGAAGGAGACTGTGGCTGCCTAGGTTTGGAAATTTCTGTCAAGTCAAATGACTCCAGTAAGCCCAGAGCTTGGTGAAGTTCTGTCCCTGACTCCCATGGAAAAGGCTTTCTCTGGCAAAACGCTACTTATTCTTTGGGATGCTTGGCTGAAATCCTTGCCCTAGCAACCTAATGTCCAATTGCAGCCTTCGGAGTCATGATGACAAAGGAAAAGTCACGGGCTTGGACCCGGTCTCTCTCCCACTCAATGAAGGAATTCTTGAATTCTCCGTCCACCTGACTTCCACACACTGTCCCTTTCCCTTCACAGAGGAAGCTGAGCCATACTCAGTGCCTTCCCCAGCTCCCTCGCCTCCTGCTTCCATCTGCCCAGCACCCAGAACTCCCTCCTGTTATATAACAATACTCCATCCCATGCCAGGCTCTCCTCACCTGTCCTCTACTGCACCCTTCGAGACTCCTTCAGAGCTGAGCCACCTTGTCCCTTCATCCACAGCTTTCTGTACCACATTTTCCCATCACCTGCCTGGATGGAGGAAACAATGGTGCAGAGAACTATATTTGGCTTTGGAAAGCAGATTTACCTTCCCAAATCTGGCATTTTAAAGATGATAGTGAAATGACTCTGCAATCCCCAAATGTATACCATCTGTGGGAAGACATGTGGCGACACAGAAACACACGTAACAGTGACGGGAAATTGTTTGGGGTTGGCACACTCAACTCCACTAATCCTAAACTGATCACACAGCACAGAGCCAAATCCTAACTCAGAATTATTTGGATTCTCTGGAACTCACTTGGTTTAATTCTGTGTTTACATAAATGAGGCAGAGGTGACTCTTGGAGTTAGTTGATTATTTTTTCTTCTTTTTGTTTGGTTGCTTGGCTTATTTTGATTTTGGTTTAGGGATGGGTGTTTTGTCACACACAGACTTGCAGTGGGATTTGATCTTCATCTCGCCCTGTAATGCTGCTTTGCCTGCTTCCTCCTAGCTTCTCAGGTTTCTTTTGCTCCTGCGCTACCCCTGGACTCTTCCACATGGATGCCTCTGAAACCAGACGGGTTTAAACTATCTCCATGCAGAATGTTGCTCTTCTGTTCGCAGCATCCTTCACCTCAGCCCAGTCACCCTGACCATCTTTCTCACAGCTCCATCCCAAGGACTGCCAAATAATGAGGCAGCATAAAGGGCTGATTTCTCCCAAACCTCCTTTCCAGCAGCATCCTTGCCTCTCATGCTCACCCATCGCTGTTCACCCATTCCCCCTGAAATCCCTTCTACTCAAGAGTAATAATCTCCATAAAGCAAGGTTCTGTTTGTATTTTGCCCCACAACCTATGAAATAAAAACCCAACTCCTTGGTCTGGCATTCTAGTATCTTCACAAATGGATCCTGGCTTAGCACATCAGTCTTACAGCCCATGCACCCAACCTAGCCTCCAAGAAAAGAGCATAGACTAGCTCATGATCAGCCATGGGAGTCTGTCTCTGGCTCATGTCTCCTTGTGCCTGTCTTCTGAGCCTGCTTATTAGAATTGCCCCATTTGCTGTCTCTGTGACACTTCTCCCACTGAGATTTTCCTTCCTTTGGGTTCTCAGCACTCTGTCTTTCTGCTCTAGCAGTCAGACAACCACAAAGCCCAGAACAGGGATTCTACCTCGGGCAGTTCACTGAACTACGACCATTCCAGGTCCAGTACCCCCAGCTTCCACGATTGTCATGTCTGAGCCAGATTACAGATACTTTATATTCCTCTCATTAATAATAATGACTAACAGTAAGTGGCCAGGTACTCAATGCAAGGCATTGCACTGTCTCCCATGGATTATTTCATTTAATTTTCACAGTAATCCTAGGCAGAAGAGTCCATCATGTGCTTCATTTCATGGATACAAAAATCTAAGACCTACAAAGACACAGCAGCCCAACAATCAAAAGCACAGGACATGAATTCGACCTCAGGTGGTTTACTAAGTACTAACTGTACCAAGCCCAGTACCTCGTGGGTTGTCCCTATCAGTCATCTACCCCCTGATTTGGGGGTAGATAGCACTGTGATCCTCATCTTTCACATGAGGAAGATGCAGGATAAAGAGTTGTCATGATTGTTTAAATGATTAACAAGTAGGCACTCACTGGAAGTCAAGAGTACAGGCAGGTTACTCCTCATCTTCCCTGACAAAGATTGTTTAGGACAAAGATCACATAACCTCAGCTTTTCCTCCCATCCCAGTAGGTAGCACAGTGCATGTGGTGCTTGAGTAGGTGCTAAAACCAGGAACACTATTTTATAGATGCTGTTTGCATTTTAGATGCCTTGCTACTGTATTTCCCTGGTTGTCATGGGTGGGTGTTCTCTCTCTAAACAGCGAACTCTGAAGACAGAGCCGAATCAAAAGAAGCCGAGAACTGAGTGTCTGCGAACTCACCGCAGCCTCAGTCAAGGGTCCTCAAGGAGCTGATCTCTGCCTGATTCCCCACTTGCATGTTAAGGGTCCCTCTGTTATAGTACAGGAAGATTCTTTCAGATGCTACAGAAGACAGTAAGAATGACAATGGCATTTCCTATAAGGTAGAGGCTAGAAAAACAGCACACACCTGCCTGATGAGCTTTTGATTATGGGAACTGAGAGAACCTGGGAAAGAGTGTAGGTCTTTCATTCATGACAGCGGGTAATCCACATACCACTGAGGGAGGACGCAGGAACCCACCTTGCATGTATATTTTTCTTCAAGAAATTTACCCTTACAATGACCTATGGTTTTTTGGAAATGTTTCTGTCCCTCAGTATATATGTAGCCAGGTTTCCAAGAGATGAGGGTCTGGGAAGTAAGCCTGTGGGCTGAACAATGGTCACAGATGACTCCAATTCTGATTCAGTTGATGTTCTCTGAGCATTGACAATGCTCTGGGTACTATCCTAGACACTTGTACACATAACATTTAGTTTATTTCCACAAAAATCCTATGATGTCTCTGCCTACTAGTTACAAGAAAGGCAACTGAGCTGCACAAGTTTCCTTCAAAGTGACTAAGTTCAAGAATATAGAAGTGGGCAATTTTCAAATAGACCACCAGCCCACTCACTGCCAAGCTGTTTTCCTGAGCTAGGTTCAGCCCAATCCTGATATCCCTATGGAAGAGGAAAGAAGCAGAGTCTCCCCTCCCACCTTCCCTAGGAAGCAAAAAGTAGGAACTTGGGGGAACTTACAGTCCTGTTTCAGTTCTATACTTAACTTGTGAAGGCAAGTTCTCTTGGGGTTGCAAAGTCCTTATCTGTAAAATGAAAGACCTAGACAAGAAAGTGACAAAAGATCCTTCGTTTAAATAGTTCCTGAATCTCCTGGATCCAGAACACAGAGGCTACAGCTCTGGTCTCTCTGAGACTGCCTTCATGACAGCTGCCCATGCAGAGCGGGAAGTAGAGCATCTGGGCTGGTTGCTGTGGGGATGCAATTAGCCTGAGCCTCATCTCAGCAGAGGGAGTTCTGGGAATTCCTGATGAGGCTGGTGCCCAGAACAGGGCACACAACCTGCGTCACTTGGAACCCAAGGCAATCCAAGGCCTAGCCTACCCACAGAAACCTCTCACTCTCCTAGAAAAGTGAAGGGGTTAGGCCTCAGGCCCTGGTCCCTGGACCCCTCACCCGTAACATCCCTGCTTTATTTTGGAATGAGGCTCAGAGAGTTAAACCCTAGAAGGGGTTCAAACAGCAAAGATTAAGAAGAGGCTGCTGAATCAGGAAGTACCCTGGGAGACCCTGCATGGCCGGACACAGTTCTGTACCCTAAAAGGAAGGCCCTTCCCCTTCGAGTCTCCTGGTCCTGCCCCACCAGATTCCAGAGTCCCAGTGCCAGCTACCTGCCTCTGCAAACTGAGCCCCATTCCCTCACCTTCTCTACTCTGGGTCAACCCTTCTTTTCCAAGGGCCGTAAGCATTTCACAAACTGCTTTCCAATGGATAATTGTTCAGAGGAAAACAACAATAATCCCCTCCCTATCTGTCCTAAAGTCTCTAGTCCCAGGGCCAAACTTTTACCCTCTGCATTAATCCAGGACAATCTATCTCTCTTGAGGCCAAGCAAGTACCAGACTGTCTCCAGAGGCTCAGAAACTGTCCTTCTGGTAAAAAACAAACAAACAAACAAACAAACAAACAAACAACCCAAGAAAATACCAATTACCCTTTTGTCATTTTTTTGTGTGCACATGTATGTGTGTGCACAAGTGTGTGCTCTTGAGTATGTGTGCACACACCTGGATTTGGAAGAAGAGGAGAATCATCCTACCAGATAACATGCCCAGGGCCAAATCAGTCACACCCACCAAACAGCCCTGTGGGCATGACTGGACTCAGGCAGGGCTTCTGCAGGTTCTCACTGCGTTGCTCATCCCTGACAGCGCCAACACATCCAGGAGCCTGTCTGGGTATGAATCCTGCAACAGGCACTACAGTGCGGCCCCATTTTCAGCCAATGGCACTGCACAAGCCTCCTATGCCAAGGTTTTACTAGGACGTGGATGCCTTACAAATGAACAATCTGAAGCTATTTTTGTTTGTGGCAGAAGAGTTTGACAGTAGGAAAGATTTGGCAGTGGGGTGGGGTGGGGAGACTCCGGGAGAGACATTGAAACCAGGTAAGCTTTGAAATGACAAACATGAAAAATCTGGAAAAGAGACCATTTCCTCCTGCCCTGTTAAACAGTTTCTATTTGGGAGGCAGAGATTAAAAAATAGACAGAGAGGCCAGACCTCCTGTCCTGGGGTCTGACACCTAACCTGAGCACAGATACAAAGCAGCAAAAATTCACACCACCAAGATCTGCCCTTCAATGACTTTAGTGCCGAGTCCCCAGAAAGTTACTTTCCACGATCTCTGACCCAGAATGGAGCTGGGCTGGGACACCCAGTCTCTCTTGCCCTGGTCGACGGAATTTGGTTAGACAGACCTGGGATGACAGAACCAACCTGGAGATCCTTGGAGCACAGGCCTGGGGCAGATCAAGATCCTCTTCTCCACAGTGCCACTCCTAGGATGGCCAGGGCACTTTCCTGAACTCTTTTTATTTCCCTCCAGCCTCCTCAACAGCAAAAGGGAACAAGCTACTAATCTTTCTTCCTCTGGGGGTCCCTTGTGTGCTTGTGTTTTGTTGCATTCAAGAAACCACAAAGAAAAATAAACACATCAGTTCCTTTCCCTGGGCCAATAAGAGTCCACACTGAGAAATGTACACGTTTTGCATTGAATGTATGCCCAGGAGCCCTTTCTTCAGAGATTAAACATCCAGGCTCCCCTGAACTAACAGTAAATAAGGCATCCATGGAACCATCACCTACATTCATACAAGACCATCCTGTAAGACCTGATTATAGATTACAGGGTGCCTAGCACCCTGTGAAAGTTCCAAGACGCTGTTAAACAAATACACGGAGCCTTCTCTTTGCCACAAGATCCCAGGTTTAGAACCTCAGCCTGTTGCTGATAACAGGGCTGCCGGCCAAATCAAATGCCAGCGCTAAGCAAGCGCGCAGGAATTTAGTTGATTCCAGGTAACTTCTCTGCCCAGCCCTTTCCCTACCCCCAGTGTAAACATCTCCTAAAGCAAAGTGAATCTTTGAAACCCCTTCCCCAGGGCCCGAAGGCTTCCCGCATCTCTTGGAGACCTCTCCTGGGGCTTGCGAGGTGGAAGTGGTGCCAGACTGGACCAGATGGACGGCCCCCAGCCTCTGGCAGGCACACCGCAGGCTCTCCCCGCTGGAGAACTTTACGAAGCGCCCCAAAAGGCTCCCGGCTTTCACTCTCAGCCATTTCTCTCGGCTCACAAAGAGCAGGCACCCAGCAAACCGTCGCCACCTGCAGCCAGATCCCGGGGCGCTGCTTCAGGCACCCCAGAAGGAAGGAAGGCCAATAGCAAGAGGGCAGAGGTTCACACCCCCACCCCCAAACCTCTCAGCCACTGGGTACCCAGAGATGGCTCTACAGCCCGTGGAACCGACGCCCCCGGGCCGGCTGCCTGCTCCCCCACGGCAACGGCCCCACCCCCAATCATTCAGGCGCCCCAGCGCCCACCCACCCGGGCGCGGGAGTGGGAGGGTGCCGCGTGGGCAGCCGGAGCAACAGGCGTGGGAGCAGCGCTCCTCGCACTTGCTGGCTACAGAAGGCTCGGTCGCTTCCTTCTTACCTTCGCCGAAGCACGCCCCAGGCCCCGCGCCCCGCGCGCGCGAGGAAGCCGCGGCCGGGGAGCCCGGGGGCCGCCGAGGCG